GTTGTAGCTAATAAACATTGCTGGACTGAATCTCCATGGTCTCTTGGAGTTCCTTGGGCTAGGCCTGACATCAATCTTCCCAGACTGAAACCCCAGTTCCCAAAGTCAGCCAGCCACAACGGTGTGAATTCCTCAGGGAGGTGCCAGTCTCATCCTCTTATCTCTCCCTCACTCCTCAGGAGACGAAAGAGCATGTTTTCCTCCCTGAGTTTGGTCTTCATAATTCCATTCCATCACACTACCCTACCTTGCAAGTTTGTTGTGAGGATAAAGTGAACATTGCTGCTAAATTATTTCTCCTTTTGAACGATTACTGTAATTTTTTTGAGTTTTACTTAAATTGTACCAGTGGTACCAACTGAATACAATATTTACAAATGCCAAGTTACACTATTCAAAACTGGCCATGCTATAATATAGGCTGGAAGAAAGCTAAACAGGATAACTAAAAGAAAAAGAAGAGAGGAAAAAAAGGGGGGGGCGGTTAAAAAGAAAAAACTGAAATACGTTCATACAATACAATAAACCTAGCGAACTGAAAATAAAATCATATTTATACAAACATTACAGTTTTTAACCAACAAATTAAACATAGATCAAATGGAATCGTATTTGATCTTGTGTCTTTGTTCAAAGTCAATACAAAGCGTTGACAGATTTTGTTTAATTCACTTTTACAGGATGTCCTTCCAAAAATGCATATAGTAATCACCTTTTTCACAGCACTCCAAACATCATATATTCAAAGGCTCTTTGAAGTTCCAGAGTTTTGGAGTAGAATTGAACAACACATTCACATTTTTAAACCCTAAATTCCACCCAAGGACCCAGTTGGCCACTCTGAAGGACTTCAGGTCTTTTTCTTCCTAATACCTCTTGGGGATAAATGTGTACCAGATGTTGGGTCTTGGTTACTCAGGCCAAGAATCCAGTGGTCTTGAGAACGTTGCAAGGATTCTGACCCGCGAACTACACTTCCTCACTGAGGTTCCTTTGGGGTATCAAAAGCATTGGCACCTCAGACACAACAGCACTCAATGCTTGGGATCCGTCTGTTCCCAGGAGTTTCCGCATTCTCACGATCTCCTGCTTGTATCTGCAAGGGAAGCGTAGAGGAGATACGGCTGCTGTGTTGACCTTTGCTGGCGCCTGATAAAATCCAGGTATTCATCAGCTTCCGGTGTGAAAAATACGTCAAGTAGAGCAAAGAGGGCAGAAGGGTGGAAAAAATGAACTCACCTGGGAGGGACTTAACCTGTGTCTTTCAGCATTTGGGAAGTAAAGAGGATCAGCCGCTTTTAGGTTGTAGCAGGCAGTGAAATGCAACTTGGGTTGCCCAAGATGACCTGTTTTCCAGGACCAGTTGTGTTTCCATCCACCTTGAGCTGGCTTTCCTTTCCTTGAGTCAGGGCTCCAGAGCGTAAGATGCTACGAAGTCCTACTTGTGCTCCTGAGACAACCCAACCTGGTCACATCTGAGCACCCACCCATGTGTTGCTGAGGTTCTGCTCTTGCTTTCCAGGTAACTTAAATCAATAGAGGGTGGTTTTGCCCAATATAACTCTTAGGCCAGACTGGGTTCCTAGGCTTGGCTTGTTCCTACGTGTTGACCACCGGCTAGGGGACGAATCACAAGACCTCTGCCAAAGACCTCACTTGAGCCATGAGCTGGCTAATTAGCTATGGGCGAGGGGGGCACCTTCTTTCTAACTTGGTTTCATTACTTGTAGTATGTGAACTATTGATCTGACAGTAGGTCAACTTTATTATGTATTGACTAATATTTTATAACAATTTAAAATAGCTTATTTCAAACTTGCAGCATACAAACGACTGATCTGAAAGGAGTTCAAGGTTGTTATGGTATCTATATGTAGTATTTTATGCAGATCTAAAATACATTGTTTCAAGTTGTAGTATACAAACTATTGATCTGATAATAGTTTAAGTTTATTATTCTATCATCTACCTATCTTGTCTTGACTACTGTTATACAAATCTAAAATACCTTGTTTCAAACTTGCAGTATATGAAATTATTGATCTGACAGTAATTCAAGTTTCTAATTGTCACTGACTATACACACACACACATTCTCTGTATTGACTAATACTTTATACAAATCTAAAATCATAAAGTACTAAGGGAATTAATAACCAAAGGAAAAGACAGGTATGTGGAGTGCATAAAAAGAGTTTATGCAGTCCTTCAGATGCTCAAAAGGAAATAAAGTATTAAGTGGAAATAAGATGTTAACAATAGCATATTAGTAAAATATAGTAACTTGAGTATTAAGAGCTAAATGAAGAGCCTCCCCAATTACTAGAACGTTAAGAAAAGCTGAATAAAGCATTGATTGGTTGGTTGAATGATTGATTATGTGCCATAACCACCCAGAAAGAGATGATTATGAGCTTCCACAAAACCAGAATAAATCCGTTGGGGGAATCTGGCCGTACCCTTGTGTGGTTTCCATCAACTTTGTACAGAGTGTCAAGAGCTGTACTCCAAAATGGGGCAGAATGGGGATCCCTTTGGGAGTGGGTTGGGAGTTTTAAGTCATGCAATGGGGGTCTTGAAGCTTCTGAGCCTGAAGACAATCATTTTGCCACTTAAACCACGCTCCATTTCAAAAATGCAAAAAAGGGAGTGGCTAAAATGTTGGATCCCACTTCCTTTAGGGCCCCCTAAAAGGATGTTGGCAAGCCACACTTCCTGGACCCCTGCTGGTTGCAAAGAAGATCATTTATGAAGCTTTCATCTTGGGATTTTTGAAAGCTCAGGATGAAGACAGACAATGCTTTGGGCCCAAAGAAAAGTTTTGCCTTTGGTCTCACCTCACCAGATGTTTGTCCACATATTCCTGAAGTTCAGCAATCTGTTCTTCTGCTACCATTGCCCGGGCCAGTAGCTGGCTTCTCTCCCTTTCAAGTTCCACCTGAAGTTGTGGGAAGGGAAGCAGAGAGCATGAAGGATGGCCAATAACTGAATGTCTGTAGAGAAGTACTGTCAGCCCTTCAAGGTAGACCAGACTTGAACACCAAAGTTATATCATATTACTCTTTCTATAATCTATGCTATCTAATCATCAAAACCATAAATCACAAGTTCTTTTTTTTTTTTCATTTTTACGCAAAAAGTCCGTAAGAGGCTTCCAGTCACCAATAAATGTAGATAATGTCTTCTCTCTAATCAAATAAGCCAATTTATACATTTAGGCAAAATCTCTCAACTTCACCAACCATTCCTCTATAGAAATCTGAGACATTTTCTCAAATTACATTTCTGCTTTGGGACTCAGACTTCTCTTATCTGAATGTTGCCTTGACAGCGGCTCTTCCTCCTCTTCCTTAAGGTTATTCTCACCGTTTATTACAAATACAGAGATGGCCTTGAAGGAAATACATAGCAACAGCTGGGAAAACATAAACTTAACCCAGAGCGTGAGAAAGAAACTCAAGATTAGCCTGCCTTGACTCTCTGGTATAAGAGAGAGGAGTTCTAGCATTTCCTATGGGGTCTGCTTCCTGACCTGGTCTACCTCAAAGGACTGACAATGTCTAAGATTTATGGGCAGCTTTCTGTCTGTAGACTGGAGATAAGCCATTCATGGGCTTTTTGTAGAGCCAAATCCAAGGTTATGGCCCCTGGAGCATCCCCAGATGGCACCACTGACTTCTCACACTAAAACCACAAACTTCAAGCAGTAGGACCTTTCTCAAAATAAGGCCACAATGAAGGTGTGTTATGCCCCCAGATGCTTTAATGTATCCATTTAAGTTTTAGGCGCCACCAGATCCTACCAAAACATGAAAAAGGCTTTGGTCCTGCCCACCGTGACGTAGCCATGCCCCTACAGTTCTGGGGAAACCAATACCATTCCAAATTGGAAGACGAAAGTGCAAATTGAAAGTTCTTACAAAACCATGGAGGAATCTACGGACATGGCCATGAGAGGTTAATTATGGGAAGAAAAAGCGTATGTGAACTGCAAAGTGTCTTGTTTAACTCAGATTCATTTTAAATGCTATGACTAATCTTCAGCTTTGGGGGTTGAAGCCAACATGGGGACTTGGAAAAATGCACCCTAAAGCCCCTTCATTGATTGGCATTGCCACGTACTTGGAGAGTTTGACTTACTTGTGTAGCATGGGTGAATTCCTGTAGCTGCTTTCTGAGTTCAGCCCAGCCTTCATCCTCCAGCAAACTAGAGACGGGGAGGCAGAATATGTGTGAATTAAAAAGAGACACTATTAGTCTGTTGTCAGTGGCTGTGTTCAGATAACCCTTTTACTTTGACTATTGGCTCACTCAGTTCTGAAAATATTAAGCCAGAGTTTCTCAACCTTATCAACTTTAAGATGTGTGGACTTAAACTCCCAGAATTCCCCAGCCAGCATGCTGGCTGGGGAATTCCAGGAGTTGAAGTCCACCCGTCTTAAAGTTCCTGAGGTTGAGAAACCCTGCATGAAGCCATAAACCAACCAAACAACCTGGATTCATCCCATGCATTAAGTCACAAAACCAATCAACTACCTTTAAAATTCACTAAGGTTATATATTGTGCAGCTACTTGGTTTGTAACTGACCTAGTAAAGGATGTTGTAGGAGGACAGCCAGCGTAATGGGCCATGAGAATAACCTTGGGAGACAGGAGGAAGAGCCACAGTCTAGACAAAGGTCTGATAAACGAAATTTGAGTCCAAAGGAAGGATGGGGGTGGAGAAAGCATCTCAGAAGGGGCCCTCCCTAGATCTCCGGAAAGTATAGGCAGAGGAGGGGAGAAGGCTTTTCAGACTTGCAAGATTCTGTTGCTATAATCTTACAATAAAGGTAATGTTTGTACTCATGATTTTGGTTTCCTGTCTGGACTACCTGAAAGGGCTGCAGCCAGTGACTATGTTTGTCCACCCTAAGCTTCCTGTTGACTACTTCAGTAAGTACTTTTCCTGAGGTTCATGGGTGGGAGCTCATAGGTGCCTCATAGAGTAGCATTGGTTGGCACTGTTGACCAAGACTCAGTGCTTACACCCACGTGGATCCCTGAAGTTCCCTGGTTTCGCTGCTGCTCCCCGGCATTGCCTGTTCAGGTGATCTAAGCAAGGAGAAGATGGAGCAGTAACCTCAGCCTCTCGGGGCCAGCAGACGTGGGCAACTGAAGGACAATGAGGAGGAGAGGAAGAAGACAGCAAGGAACAGCAAGGAGAAGGAGATGTGATAGGGAGTGCCTGCTAAGGTGGCTCTGTGCTAGAACATCTGCTTTGCGTGCCCAGGTTCCACATTCAAACCCAGATGTCTCCAAAACCCCAGCTTTAGCTCTGGAGAAGACCTGTGCCAATCAGGGTGTCTTACAGTCCTGACACACTGAATTACAACTACCTGCTGTCTGGAGGAACAGAAGTTGTAGTCCTAATATCCCTGGAAACTTGGGAGGGAGGGAGGAAGGAAGGAAAGAAGGAAGGAAGCATAGCCAATATCAAGCTGATTGGTTTGGTGCTCTCTCTCTGCCTTAGGCCGCTTCATCAATTCTGTCTGCAGCCCTGAATTCATCCCTGGATAAACATCTCTTCCAGGGACTGAGCAAATGCAAAACCAAATTGCACCCTCCTAGTTCCTGCACAAGAGAAGCATTCTCTAAAAATGGAGGTGAGAAACCATGGGAAGGAGGCCCCATCGTCTTGACCCTCGCCCATCTTTTATGTTTTCATTCTCGTTTTTGTACTTCAGGGAGCAAATCCCCTTACTTCACTTGTGGGGTGTTGAGGGTAGGTGATCTAATCATGGGGAAATATGCGAGCGAGCCGTGGGAAAGTTCTGCTAGTTGGTCCGAGTCCCGCATAAGTAAAATATAGGTCACTTTTGATGTTCGGGGAATTCTGACTGTATAGAAAGAATGGAATGAACTCGGGAATGCATTGTGCTCCAATTTGCATGCGTAAGAAGCATGGATGTCCAAAGCTCCCTCTGGAGGCCATGTTCCTTGCCGCAAGGAACATACAACACCGTGGTTTTTCTCTCTTTCAGCAGTGGAAAAGAAAGACTGACATTTTCACAGCCAGGTCTGACTCAGAGGCGCCGTTTATTCCTTAAGGCAAATAACGCGGGGTGCTTTCCACCCATCGGCTCTGCGTTTTTTTATTTTAGGTTGGCGTTTATGGCTAGCCCTCTTGAACGCTCTTTTTGGCCAGATAGGCAAAACAAAGCCTTACGAATTTACAGGCCTGGGGTGCTTCTACCCCTTTCGTGTGGTGAAGGTGAGAAGTGCTTTGGGTTTTCATGGCATTTTAATGAGGTAACCAGGCTTGACTGCAAATGCTTCGCTGGCAATTCTTAAGGCACCCATAGAAGAAATAGGTGTCGCTCAGGGTTGAACTGTGGAGTCCGTGGGCTTCTCTGAGCTTGGCTGTTTTCTTGCAAACGTTTCGTTTG